GGCTGCGGGCTCTCGGGCTGCGCGGGGCGGCCGCTTCCGGGCGAGCAGGAAGGGCCTGGCGTTCGGGTGCGCCCGCGCCCCGCAGCACACGCTCGGGCTTCACGACACAGAGGGCCGCACCCGCCCTTCGCTTGGTGGCGCGGACCCGCGTGTCCTCACTGGACCGCGGGGGCCGGGACGATGACCCTCGGGGACTCGCCAGGTCCCTCGTCCACCTGCACCTTAACCCGGACCGACAGACGGCTGCAGCCATAACAGCTGCGTTTTCGCTGTTGCTGAGGCTGTTCCGCACGCTGGTCACCCCACCCCGGCGTGAGGCGACTCACCGACTCGCTGCGGGAGGGCAGGGCGTAGGGTGGTGTCGGGGGGCGGGGGGAGACCCTGGCCCGTGTCCCCTTCTGAATGTGCCCGGGGCAGGGTGTCCTCGGGGACACGTTGAACCTACTTGGGAACGATTTGTAAGTTGCCTCCATCCTTTGAACCCGCACTGCCCCCTAAGGTAGGTCCTGGTCGAGTCCGGTTCTAGTTAAGGAAACAGTGACTAACGAGGTCTTCTAGGTCACACCCGGGAGATGGCAGAACCGAGCAGCCGCCTGCCCCCAGGTGCGAGCTCTTGGCCCTTCCTCCCTCCTCCACTGAGGTGCAGCGCAGCTCTCTCCTGCTTCCAGCAAAGGGACAGGAGGCCCAGCAGCAGAGCAGACGCCTCTGACCACCCACCTCCAGGGACAAGGGGAGGGCCGAGTGCAGGCAGATGTCATGCGCACCCACCGCCACAGTGGGGGCTGCTAATGCCCCCAACCCACAGGCTTCAGTCGCCTCTCCCGTGATGCTTTAAGGCATCTCAGTCAAGTCACTCCTAATTAACATGCAAACTCAAAGGAAAACGACAGAAAACCCAGGGACACAGCCTGAGAAAGCATGTCCAGCTTCAGGATGTTGTGGTTTGTTGTTTTTTTTTTAACTTTTTTTTTATTTAAATAAGGAGAATTCTTTCATATGGAAAGAGTTAGTACAATCACATATTTGAAAGGAGAAACAATAGGTACTGGACCGGAGGGAAAGGGCAAGGGGTGAGTGTGCCACCAGCCTGGTGAACCCATGATTCCATTTCCCATCCAAGGCAAAAGCTTCCCCAAAATAATGTATGAACAAGCTGCACATTACACCTTCAGCCATCGCCTGCCCTTTCAAATATCTGGTCTATATGAAAAGACAAACAGAGGAAAGGCCAAAATAAAAGGAAACAAAATCCCTCTCAAGAACAAAAAACCCCAAACCCTTTTCACTACGCAAGGCGTGAGGCCCGAAGCTTGCAGCACACGATCCCCTGGGAGGCTGTGCAACATGCTGAAGACAGGGCCCTGGGGACGCTGCTACCTTCCTGGAGGCCACCCAACCCGGAGGAGGAACTGAACGGCAGGATGCGCCTGGAAGGTCACTAGCCAAATACACGCTGGTGGTCCGAGTGGAGAGCTCGGCGGGGGACAAACGGTCTGACCCCAACGCTGGGCCGTTCCTGTCCTGGGTGGTCTGTTAGGTCCATCTCATGCCTTCAAACCGGAAGGGCTGGCTCTCTGAAGTCTGCACGTCCCACTCATCACAGAGCACGACAAAGCACAAATACTCAAGTCTCCTTGGTTGTCAAAGGCCACTTCCAACCGACCTTCCTACCCAGGCTTGCTCTGCAGGTGAAAGGAACAAGTCCAGATGAGAGGCAACACGCAGCTACTTGGTGGAGGGGAGCCGGTCTGCAGGGAGGAGCTGTACCATTTGCCCCATGACCTCACACCTGCACGCTTTCCTCCTCGGCTCTGAGCATCAGTCACAAATCTCACCAAAGATCCAGGAGCAGGTCCGGAGGCGAGGGCCTAGCTGGAGCACGGACGCCGGTTGTAGCGAGATGCTCAGTGTTCTGAGAAGTGGCTGGAATGACCAGTTTGAAAGCGGGCAAACCGATTTTTCTGAAACGTGTCAGTCATCCTCTGTTTTTCCCTTAAGGAACCTAGAGCCAGAAGTGTATGAATTCCAAGTTTGCAAACAATAGTGTGGACAGAAGGGGTGAGTAACGGTAAAGAAAACCAGACCAAACAGCTGGCAAAGAAATCTTCAGTGGGTGGACGCCGCCTCTCAGACACACGACCCCACACGCTGGGATTTTACTCCACCGAGCAGTTGACACTGGACGGACGCTACATCAGGCTCCTGGTGCGGAGCGGCGGGCTGCACCATCAACAGCCGGGCAGAGCTGCCAGCATCAGAGGGTGACTGTGACGAGCAGGCAAAGGTGCATGAGGGCGTGGACACCACCCCCATCTCAGCAGCAGAAAAGGTAAGTTTGGGTTTTCACCTGTTCCCACCAAAGGCCCCAAAACACCCTGGCAGAGGCCTCTGCGTGGTTATGCGCTCTGAAGAGGGGGGTTTGAAGCCAAAACAAGACCCAAAGTCCTACTACCTTGAGCTTAGCTCTAAAACCACGCGAAAGGAAGAGATTGCACCTTAAAACATCTCTGCAGTAAAGACTGCATTTAATCAGACCAAGGAAGGGATGGGGTGCCAGCAGGCCCGGGCCTACCCTCTGCCCGAGTCCAGCTGGAAATGTCTCGGGGGGAAGCGCCCGCAGCTGGGCACACGAGGCGGAGAAAGCACTGAGGGTCACATGCAGCTCCTGGCCTTCCTGCACAGGTCAGTCAGACGCATCTATAAATAGCGCAGTGGGACACTTCCTTCCTTCACCTAGACCTACAACAATACATATAAATAAATCCTAGTGTTTTCTGTTTTATTGGGGGGGGGGGGGGGAGTAGAAAATACAGGGCAGAGAAAAGGGCTGGAGAGCAGGTGACCCCGTGTTTTTATTTTTCCTCAAACAAGCACTGTCGCTCTGTCAGGATCACCAGGAGGGCACACCTTGAGTTTGTAACAGCATCCAGGACTGTTCTGTGGAGCCTCACAATGAGAAAACCTTTCTTGCTTTAGACAAGCAGCGGACCCCAGAATCAGGTGGGAGGGTCTGGGCGGGTTCCCAGGTGTTCAGGCAGCGTGTGGCTCCTGCAGGGCAGCGGGCGATGGGGGCATCGGGGAGTGGGGCAGGCAGCAGCTCTCGTGGGGGAGGAGGGGCAGAGCAGATGAGCACATGGGGCAGGAGAGTGAGGACAGGACTCCAGAGTAAAGATTCAGGAGATGAAGGGAAAAGAGAAGCCAGTGAACAGTGAGGTCCGAGGATGGAGGCGAGGGGGTGCGGAAAGCTACCACGTGAGCAGTAAAGCTCTTCCCAGGAAACTGGCCTCCAGGGCGCGAGACGGGAGCTCTGCCAGGTGGTGTCCCGTCCTTAAAGCTGTCATCACAGCACGAGCTGCTCCAGCAGCCCAAGGGCCCTCCCTCCCGTGTCCTACCCTGGACAGAGCTGAGAAGCAGCCTGAGCAGCCGGCACACACCTGCAGGGACACGGGCTGAGCCAGGTCCCCTGGGACCAGTGGCAGTGCCCTCTCTGTAGGTGCTGCTTAGTTCCTCGAAGGGCCTCTGCAAAACTCGAGCCTTCCCCTCCCTTTCCTCGGAATGACAGAATCTGGGGCGATTCTAGTTTTTAAAAAACAAAACGCAGTGTGAAATGGCTCACGCGAGCATTTTGCTGGAGGCAGCTCTGCAGACTTGGGTGGCTGCCCAGGCCGTTTCAGAACCATGGCCAGCCCTGCAACACAGCCTCCCCCTTGGACCTGCCCGCCGCTGGAAAGGCTGACCTCACTGCTCAGCTCAGGTGCCCTGTCCCGCCACCTGGGCCTGCTGCTGGGAGGGGAGGAGCAGGAAGCCCTGCAGGAAGCGCGGGGCTGCAGGAAGGTGGAGAAGCCCTGGGTGCCGGCGCCCTCGAGCAGACGCGGGAGGTGGGGCGGGGGCTGTGGGGCGGGGGGCCGTGGTGCTGCCTGCTCACACGTCAGGCCAACTCGGGATACACCAGTGACTGTGTCCACGCTTCACCACAGGGCCAGCGGCCAGCACGTCCCTGGCTTCAGACTCCGGGACAGAAACCCTTCCGTAAACCCCAGCTCACGGGCTGCCCGTGGGCTCCGGAGCGCAGCCCGACACCGGGTGCTCCTGCGGTACCTTGTGTGGCCGCAGAGGCTAACCAACGAAGAGCAGGGGGGCGTCTCACAGCGATGCGTCAAACTAAACAGGAGGGGAAGACACTACCGGACAAGGAGTCGGGGAGCTGGCGAAGAGCATATAAAAGTTCAGCTGCACAGACACCGCTTGTGTTTTGTTTTCCTTTCTCTGTAAAAACCTTGGCTGCTTCAGCTGCTTTTTAAAATAAAAAGCTTCAAAGGAAAGGGCCGGCTGCCACACCACCGGCGGGACGGGGCGGGGCAGCACGGAGCGCCCACCGAGGAGCTGCCCGCGGCCGCATCCTCAGGGCCACCGCCGGGGGGCGGAAAGGAGACGGGACGGGGCTGTTGCTGTTTCGGATGAAAGCAAGCAGGTCAATGCCACAAATCCACGGTGCAAGCTGGTTGGACGTCGGAGCTATCAGGACTGGAGAGAGGATCTTTCTCTGCCGGCCGGCCAGGCGGTTGGACGGAGAGGCGGCTCTGCCCACAGTGAGGCGGCCAGACCAGCGCCTCAGGCCTTGCTCTCCTCCACTTTCACCGCCCGAGGCTTGATGGCTCCTGTGCGCTTCATCTGGGCGGCGGCCAAGGGGGCCTCCTGCAGGGTCACGGCTCCCAGGCCGGGTTTCTCATCCACTCGTGGCTTTGCCTTTGGACAGATGAACGGGACAAAGCAGTTACCCTCACACAGCAGCCGTCGGTGGCTACACAGCCCCCCGCTCCTGCTCCTGAGCCCACAGAGAAGAGCTACGCTAAGGAGTCCATCCTTCGGTGGAGGACAGACTAGAAGCAACTCTCCTAGGAAGGACACGGTGGCGCTGCTGTCCCCTCCCGCAGGCGCTGAGTGCAGTGATTCGGAGGCGGGAAGACGCCGGGTCCTCCGGGAGCCTTCTGCGATGCCCGCGGGCCTCCACAGGGCCGCACAGCTAAGGCCGACTCAAGAACCTTCTCAAATCAGTGCACCCCATGCCCACAGGGACAAAGCCTCTGAGACCCGCCTGTCTGCGGAGGGGCGGGGCCTCAGGCAGGCGTGGGTCTCCCGGACCTTCCAGAGCCTTTCCCCAGATTCACATCAGGGTCCCCCTACTCTCAGGTCAGCACTGGGCAGTGCACCAGAGTGACCGGCCTCAACCTGCCCCACACCATGAGCATTAGCTCAATCCAAGCTCCTCCAGGAGCGGCCCTCCAGGGAGCCACGCCAGGAGAAGTGAACTGAGTGGCCAGTCCTCCGCCTCCACCAGCCAGGAGCTGTTCTACTTAGTACTTAGAAGCCTGCGCTGACGCGTCCGAGCCCCGGAGCCCGCCATACTCGAGAGCAGCGGGAGACAGTGCCCCACGGCCAGGAAATGCCACGCCATCGCGGTCCCTCCCAGCCAGGCAGATGAGACACAGCACTTACTAGGGCTACGTGCTCACGCTCACGCGCACGCCCGACTGCTAGCGCTGACCCACAGACCTAACCCAGTCCCAGCACCTTCGCAGCCCGAATCGCTAGGAGGCTAGTCCACCTGCTGGCGTCACCTCTCCGGGGACTCCGCATCCTCCCTTCTCTGCAGGACAAGGAAGGATCCAGACGCCCGTCAGGAGGAGCAATGCCTTCGCCAGAAGGACTCGGCCCCTGGCGCCATGCTCTAAGCGCTAGGGCACGCCTCTCTTTACAAGAGGAGCACGCAAATGGGGTGGGCAGTCCCTTCTCTTTTGGCGCTTGGAGACGGGCCTAAGCGTCGGGGCTGGAGGTCTGGAAAGCCATCTTCTACCTGGTGAGCGTAGTGTCCCTGCACAGAGCCCATGTTAACTGCTGATCCAGAGGGCTTCCCACTGGGGCTAGCAGAGCTAGGCCTGAAAAAACCAAAGGCAGGGGGTGAGAACACGCACCGCAGGAGGGAGTCAAGCCCGGCGCGCGCCCTGGCTCGGGCTCGCAGACCTCCCGGCGGAGGAAAACAGACCGCAGGCAGCCGAGCTCAGAGGAAGAGCGGGCTCAGTCGCCCTGGCACCTCCAATGCAGCTCAGGGAGAGGCACCCAGGGGGAGAGACCGAGGTCGCCACTGCGGACAGAGACTGACCAGACAGATGGACGGACAGGAGGAGCAAGAGTCTCTCAGGTCTTGGAGGGTCTGGACCAATGTGACTCTATGGCCAGATAAAAGGTCTCTAAACCTAGGAATTACGCCCAGTAGTTTTCTAGTCTTCCCTTTGTGTGGGTGGGGGGTGGAGAGACACCAAAAGGAACGATACTGTAGAACACCTTTCTAAGTGTGTTCCGTTCCCGACAACCAGTTCCCAGGAAGGGTAATTAGGTGCTGGGGAAAAAATGATTTCATGGTGGAAGTGTGCGAAGCGCTGTGTGCAGAGTTCACCAGGACTCCGGACAGTGGGCTGTGCCCAGGAGCACGGCTCCCGAAGAGCCGTCTTGCACACAGCACCCTAGGGACCGGAGCGGGGAGCCTGTGTGGCGGGACACGCCTCAGAAGTCATTTCCAGAAAAAGTGGGAAATGCTCCTCCATAAAAACATACCACGTTCCCAGCCCCAATGAAAACACCTGCACAACAAGGGCTCCTTCGCTACGGGTCACACTTTCTAAAGTCTCCACAGGCAGTGGCCGCCACTCCCACACGGTGGGCGCTCGCGGCTCTTGTTTAGGCGGGTCCGTTCCTGGGTTTGCCCAGGGAGACTGAGCACCTGTTCACCCTCCACGCCCCTCCCTCCCTCCATGTACACACGGCTCTGTGCTGCTGTCCACACAGTTTTCTAATAGTTCTGTTGTCTTGGCCCACGTGAAAAACATGATCGGACAATAGAGCGAACTAACAAAAATAAATGAAGCCGAGAGAGTGAAAATAAGAGAAAAGATGAAATGGGGGAAAATTCACAAAAATCCCTCTCTCTGGAAATGCTGCTGGAAGGATGGAAGGAAGCAGCAGGGGCTGAGGCCAAGGCCTCGCACTCCAGGAGCAGTGGGCCGAGCACCGGGCAGGCGCCCCTCCGCCAGAGGACCTGGTGGGGCTGGAGCCTCCGCCGGCCTCGCCCAGGGCACTGCCAGCTGCACATCTGTCTGACTCATTTACCAACAGGACGGTTCCCAGGCGTTTCCCACACATAACAAGAGTCAACTGCACTGACCCTGGGCCCGAAGCCGGGCACGCTGCCTTCCCAACTCACACGCGCTCCCTGGGGTGAGAAAGTTGGCAGACCCAGAGCTTTGCTGCCTTTGCAACCCAAGTAATTGAACAAGACAATCCATACAGCGCCAGCTCTGATCCAGCTCAGGGCCCTGGGACTGGTGCTGGAGGCAGAGACGGGCGCAGAGAAAGCAAAAAGGTGCAGCTCGTCCTGGGTAGCCAGGGCCCACGGCCCAGCAGCACCAGGTCCTGGGGAGGAAGGTCCTCCCGCCCAGGGCTGTGCCTTCGTGGCCACTGACGCCTGTTCTAGAAGCTGCGAGAAAGCTGTGTGCAGGCAGGGTCAGCCCGACGCTGACAACATAGCAGTTCCTTTCCCCGCCTTCCCAGCAAGCTCTCCCAATGCAGAGCATGGGATGAGGGTTAAAACCAAAACCCAGTTCCCGAGTTCCCAGTGATGACTGAAATATCTTGGTGACACGCGGGCTTACGAGGGGACCCGGCCTCGGTGCCCTGTGCCGCCCTCCCCGGGCCCTCAGCACCCGCCGGTCCCTTTACCTGTAGGTCTGTGGTGATTGCCCCGGAGCCTCCCTGAAGGGAACATTTCGGGTTTACTGTCGGCAAAGTGTAAACCCCTTCATCTCATCTGGATAGGAATAGAAACCTCGTAAGCAAAGGATGTTTGTTTGTTTGGTTTTTAAGACAGCCTGTCCATTGATTAAGCCTACTCTTTCCCACTCAAAGGGGCCCCTATTATTACCCGTGTAGTAGGTTTTGCTTTGATAGGTGCTTTATATAATCTACCTAGTGCTTTTGTCTATACACCTCT